ATAAGCCGACTGAGGAAGATCTATGGTGATCAAATAGGGATGGTCAAAGAGTTTATTGACTACTCCCCTGTGAAAGGGAAAGCGTATTTAGAGGGAGAACCTGAAAGGGAAGTGTGACTGCTTTGAGTTCCAGTGGTTCATATTAGAGTGTTACAATGCTCAGTTGAAGGCGTTTGCCAACACAAAGAGTATTGTAGTGATGGAGAGAGGACCTTTTGATTCTGTTGGGATCTTCACTCGACAAAGCTTAAGAGAAGGAAGAATAACACAAGAAGGATACGACTTACTAATGCAGAAGGTTAGAGAAATGGAGTTACAATATGGCATCCCGTCGTCTACTAATTTACATATAGAACAGCGAGATATGGCTTTAATGAGTGCTCAGAATGTTTATGACTCACTTAAAGCATCTATTTATAAAACTGTTGAAAATAAGGGAGACCTCCTTATTTATTTGTATTCTTCAAATCCACAGAAACAACTTCAGAATATAGAAAAGAGAGGAAGAGAAGGTGAAAAGAATTATAACGTCGATTATTTGCTGAAGATCAATCAAGCCTATTCTGACCTCTTTGCTAACCGAAACTAATGTAATCTATATTTATTTATTCTTTTTATTTTTATTATTAATATATAGATGGATATCTTTTAAACACAAACACGACACGTTGATGTTTTTGTTATATAGTAATTTATAATTAATATTTACTACATTTTTATCACACTTATAACTAGAAATAGTAGTTGTTATTATAATTTTTTATAGTACTTAATTATTACACAAAATAAAAACTATATTTCTAATGTACATTAAGTTCGATAAAAATTTAAATCACACAAACTTTTTGTATTATTTTTTTTAAACTTAACTTGTTATTCAAAATGTCACTTTTTATTTATGAAGTTATTCTCAAAGGAGTGGCATTTACATCGCTGAGTGTTACAACACAAAACGAACTTCAATCTTTATCAAAAGAAGAATTAAAGCCAAGGTCTGTCATGGAAGTAATAGATAATATTGGCTATCCTGTTATGTGGATAAGAATTAGTCAACAAATAGATAACAGTTTTCTTTCTTCAGTTAATGATAAAGTTAGAAATGGATTGTTTGATTTGTTGGGGACTAGTTTAACTGCAACTCTGAATACAAAATTGAAGAAATTTGCCTTTTATACTCTCCGCAAAAAACAAATACAAATATACAAAGCAACGCACACCAGAACCAACGGTCCAAAACAATACTTTTCTTGTTCTTGTA